ACCTATTGATCATAATTGTTAAGGGAAATTAAAAAAACTACCCCTGCAGCAAAGTTCAACTACAAAAGAGCATAATTATCTCCAAAAATTAAACTATCTTAATTCTCCTTCACAAATTGCAGCCTCAATAGGTGAAAATTTGTGGTTCGAATATTGAATATCAACCTCAAGTATGCATTCTGTAAAGCTTTAAGGGGATATTTGTAATTCTACGAGCAACCAGAGTCTTGTATTTTTTAGCTAAGACAAAGGTAGCTTTCATAATTATCCCTATCTGCTCCAGGCAAATTAGGATAGTAGGTGAATGTACTACAATACCATATTTTCAGCTTGCAATTTGATTTTCCTACTAATGCAATTATCTTCAAATTCTAAAGAATCTTTACAACCGAAATCATACAACTCAATTCCACATCCCACCTAATAAATCACCCCTCCAACATACATAGCAATATATTTCACAAAACAGCATACTTAATCACCAGTTGTAATCACCAACAACAGTCATTAACTCTCTCCCGTCCAAATTCAAATGGTAAGTTAAACTTACCTTTCATCCGCCTGTGGCCGCTGCCGATTATTGCTTCCATGACCTCGAGAATACACTCATTAGCCTACTTCCCGAGAGCCTATGCAAAGCCTTCTTGGCTCCAGCAACATCCATCTCGGCCAATCTCTGCAAATGCCCATAAACGCCCCTCGCCAAAAGCATTTTCCGGCAACCCTTGCTACCTCCGGCCATGATAGCCGCCACCACAGCCACCGGAAACTTCTTCGAAACAACATCATTCTTGGGGTCCAACATTTGCACCAGCCTCGTCAAGCTCTTCTCATCCTTAACCAGCTCTTTCCTATTCGATTTTACTGATAACAATGATATCAACGCCTTAGCCCCAATCTCTTGTATGCCCTCAGGCTTTACCGACTCCATTAGCCTTACCAATGAACCCATACAACCAGCAATTAAGGTCTTATTTCCATCACTAATCGATAATTTAGCGAGCAAAGAAGCCGAGGTGTGCTGCAATTTCGTATTACCGTACTTTACGGTTTCACTGATTTGTACTATAAATTGGATTGATCCGGATAAGATTCTACGACTGCTATCTGAGGCAGATAATGAATAAATCGCACGCAATACATGTTCTGAATTATCCGCAGTTGGGCATTCATGAAACAAATTTAGTAATCTGTGCAAGGCATTTTCTTCTAGCAACAATTTGCGAAAATACTCGCCAGTCGAGGCAAGAATGGATATGCACTTGGCTGCTTTTCCCCGAGCGGATGGGCTCCCGGAGACGAGCAGCTGCATCAAGATAGGGACAACACCTTCTTCTGCCAATGCAACCCGAATATCCTCTACAACTGAAACATTGCTAACTGCCCCAATTGCGTGCGATTGAGCAGTGAGAGAACCGGATTTACACAATTCGATTAAAATTGGGACGCCACCATATGCAGAAATTGCCCACGCGTTATCGGTGTCATCTGTAATGGCTTCCACGGCCATGGCCGCCTTTTCCTTCGCTGTGACTGAGCTGCACTCGATGTTTCTCAACAGAGGGCCCAAAGCCCCTTCCTCGAACAAGCACTTACGCGGCAAATCGCCGGAGGCGGCCAGCAGAGAAACCGCGTGAACCACCAATTCCCGGACGGAATCGTGAGAATTCAGATCGAGAAGCGAAATCAGGCAGCCGACGTCCCCTTCCCTGGCGACGACGGCGGCGGACTTGTCGTCCTCCGACAGAAGCTGAATCAGAGAGTCCAGGGCCTTCCGCTTGAACTCTAGCCCGCCGATCTGGAGTCTGGTGAAGAGGTCCTTGACGAAAAACGCGAGCTCGTCTCTCGAGGAGCTCGGATTCGGACGGGACAGAACAATGGCGGTGGAGTGGTGGAGGACGCCGGAGCGTAGGAGGAGCTCCAGATCGTTGGCCTGCTTCGAGAGCCATCCGGCGGCCATGTCGAGGTCGGACTGCATCAGCAGCTTGCCGCGGCTGGCGGATGCGGCGTCGCGGCAGAGGCGGCAGAGGGTTTCAGTGCGGCGGAGGGTGGAGAGAAGGGAGGGGAGGATCGGCGGGAGGAGGGGATTATCCGACCAGTGGGGGGAGTCGGAGATTTCGGAGAGGAGGGATTTGAGCGCGGCGAGGCGCGACCGGATGACCTGCCATCTGGAGGTGAAGCAGGTGATGGGGATGGTGGAGGGGATGAGGTCCCCGAGGAGATAGGTGATCTCGGCGAGGGTCTCGGCGGGGGACGGCGGAGGGACGGCGGCAGGGTGCATCTTGTGTGTTGTTTTTTTTTTGTGAAATTTACGACTTGGTGTCGGAGTTATTAATTGTTGAGATGGGTCAGTGAATGCATGTGCAAATAATACAGTCCCCTGTGGGGTGTGTGGGGTAGGGTTCTTGTGGGGCCCGCGGGTTTTTGCGGTGTAAGAGCCGTGTTTGGGTCACAAAGTCAAAAGACGGCCCAGGGTTTAGTAACTGCCACGGGGCTGGGCTTTATTTTTGGGCTCTATTTTGAAGGGCTGATATTATATGCCCAAGAATAGTGAAGCCGAATTGGATGAATCGAAAATATTAGGTGGTTTGATTATGGGATTATTTAGAAAAGTAATCTTTTTATGGTTTGGTTTTTTTTCTCCATTTTTAGGTTTCAGTTCTTCATTTTTATATTTAAACTCTCAAATTTTATGCTATTTTATATTTTTTTATTTATTTTCTCGTTAAATCAAAACCAATTACTAAATATTATTTCTTGTAATTTGGTAATTCAATGAATTGGATGAACCGAATTATAATAACACAATTCGATTCGTTCGATTTTTCTGCAATATTAATAGATTAACCAAGTTATATTTCATGTCCCCATTTTGTTTCCTATAACCGATGGATCCATGCATACTATTTTATAGTTGCAAGTAAATTGTCAAACCCCAANTTTAGATATTGTATAAAAATAAATGTAATTTATATGAATTAAATATTCAATACATTAAGTAAAAAATAAATATATCAATATATTGTATACACCAATTCTTGGATGAGACACCTTACGATTAAGTCATGAATCGACCCGTCATACTTTTTGAAAAAAATATATATTTATATTGACAAATGTCATATATAATGAAAAAGATCACAAACTATATCATCACCAATCCTAAGGATTAAGCATATTGAACTCAAACACCATAGTGGTTACTCTTAAGTACTTAGGGCATGATAAGCGCCAATCGGCCACTCGATATCGCAACAAGACTTCATGATCTTCCTCTATTAGTTACAAGTTTAATTATTTGTATTTTTTGCAAGTACAACAATTTATTTTATGCATGATAAGATTTTCATTTATTTTTTTGTAAACTATTTGACATTATCATTGTACTTCTTGTTTATGGTAACATCAAAATGTGGAGAATGTTTGGGTAATGTATAAATGAATAATCCATATAATGGAGACTGATGTAATTGATTACAATGATGTTATTGATTACAACTAGAGTTTAAGAAAGAATCATTATTTTTTACAACCTTTTTTTTTTTTTAACAAACAACACCCCAGGAGGGTGGGTGTTAAGGCCGAACCCCCAACCTGTATATAAAAATGTCATAAATGAGTTGAAAAGTCACAAAGCTACAAGTCCAATGTCTGATATCATTTTTCATAACTTATATTTTTACTATCGCGCAAAGTTTGAACATACATAAATAGCGCGATAAGTCGATTCTCCAAATGTTCTCAACTAGTGTAAGTTGTTTAACATATCAATTGTTTACATTTTGTACTTGACACTTTCGCTAACTTAAAAAGCTTTGTATTGGGCTATTAGCTCGAGTAGTTCATTTTCATCTTAATTAAACTTCAAACTTCTCTCCATAACATTCTACAAATTTATCAGAAAAGTTGCTTCATTGACTTGATATGTAACTTAGGGGAAGACTAAGGTGGTGAGTGTTGGGTGCTTCATCTCATGTTGTATACATAAAATAATATAGGTTTAACCTAAGTAGAGTTGCACCCAATTATGGTTAGTTAACATTTTAGCTCAACCATAGCTATTCTTCTTTGTCTCTATAAATAATTAACAAGGAATTAAAGCAGAAACATTATAATTATTTATATTGTATTTTAAAGTATGATATTTGACGACTAAATTGATAACCAAATTAAGTTTGTAAGAATCTTTTTTACAACTTACATTTCCACTTAATCGCGCAAAGTTTAAATATACATTAATAATGTGATAAGACGATTCTCCAAGTGTGCCCGAATAGCGCAAGTCAAATAATAATTGAATTAATTGCGCGAGATGTTTATATCATTCATGATAAATTGTCTAACGTTTGAATTAAGTTGATGATCGGCTTCATTGTAGCATGCGCCGTATATGCAATTGTGTACGTTTAGTACTCGACGCCTTTGCTAATTTTAAAGCTCTATATTAGCTCTATAGTACTTCATTCTTTAATCATCTTAAACTTCAAATTACTCTCCATAACGTTCAAGATATGTATTAGAAAAGTTACCTCAATGACTTGATATGTAACTTAGGGAAGACTGATGAATGTTGAGTGGTTCAGCTCATGCTCTATATATATAAAAATAGTATGGGTTTAACCTACCTAGAGTTGCACTCAACTATGGTTAATGATAACATTAAATGTACAGAGATAACAGAGTTATAACAGAATTTGCTACTGCCCTTTAAATGTGCATGAATAAAACAGTCTATTGTCTAATAAGTATTAGAATTAATGAACCGGAATGTGTACGAAATTAGCGCAGAATAATATTCGTCGTTACAATTATAGTCATCACGACAACTCGATTAATGCACAGTATTCTGTCTTAATTCTGATTAAGAAGAAGTTTAGGCCAACTTAAGAGTTTCTTCTATGTCACATGGAGATACATACATAATCCCATGGAACTTAATCAAACCAAATTAAAAGCTGATTGAATTTGAACTACTTAATATAGGGACCTCAGTTTTAACTCTATGTGGGTGGAAAGTATTTGTTGAGATTGAAAGGCAGCTTATAAAACTCTTCGTTTCGAGTGTCTCCATTGAATGTCCTGAATTTGACCCACCACGGCATGCCACGGTCAACTCCCGATTTTTCCACCTCTAAAGTGTTGTCAATAAAAACGGCCACCATGAACGCAATTGTTGGAGGTGACATGAAAATTGTGTTAAAGAATGCGTTGAACTGCGCAATACCCGAAGTTTCAACTTCTTNCTAAATAACACAACTATATATATGATCTGAATCTTACCCAACCAGCATGTGTGTGAAATAATCCACCACGAGTAATCCAATATTCGCCGAAAAAATGAGGAATAGAGATCCCAAGGAAAAGTGAAATGCCGGTTATGAACAGATTTCTCATAGAGTTCATATTCGTAAACTGAAGAAAGGATAAACCGACTGATCCTGTTGAGTCGAACGAGCCACACGGATATGTTGAGGAAATTAATGAACAATGCTATTAAAGAGACAAAAATACGTATGCGTATAACAAATTAGTAAGTTAATAACATACCAACAAGGCCAAACAGGACACAGTATAGTCCAGCAAATATTGGAGTTGGTATTGATGCAAAAACAGCTCCAAATTTGCCTGCACATATGTAATACATTATAGCAGAGAAAATATTAGCATTTCACTAGAGTTAATTACCAGCTAATAGGTATGAGTGGCATTGTTCTTAATGAGAGATTTTGATAAGAGTGATATTTTGTTACTGACCAAAAACCGAAAGGAATATCATGAATCCAGCCGAAACTTGGACAACTCTACGGCTCCCGACTCGAGTTAGTCCCAGCAGCCCCACATTTTCCCTGAAAAAGAATAAAAGAAAAAAAAGAAAAGGTTAATCAATTTATCGGTAACTATATATAGGTACAACAAATAAATTCAGTTGCATATATTATCGACAACTTACACGGACACAGTGGAGCCGATACATGTTCCAAAAAGACCATCGCACAATATGGATACTCCCTGTCGAAAGAATAAATTAAAATTTACTGTTGTATAGTGATCACTTAATGGTAAAATGTTGCATTTGAGTAAGAGCATTATAAACAGAGAACTACAAATCTATTTAGGTGATATGACATACAGTAATGTTATTAACATATCTATATAAAAATCGGTTTTTTTACCTGCCAACCAATGCCTCGGCTGAGTACGTAAGCAGGTGGTGGGGTAGCAATTGCTAGACGAGCAGCCGCTTTATAAGCCCCTGTCGACTACAAATTAATGCAAACAATAATATTTTTCAATATTGCGTATTATGCAAAACATCGAAAAAAAAAAATCATTAAAGAGGCCGTAGTTTTTAAAAGAGTTTACCTCAATCATCGACACGAGAACAGCCGATATCATGGCGAACGAGTGACCTGCTGAAAAAGTCGGTGGGCCCCACTGAAAAGGATACGGAATCATGAACCTGTAAAAAAA